AGACCAACCAAGCAATTTGAAGGGGGGGGGAAGGGGTCARGGAMGTCTGCAGCAGGACGCATGGGGATTGCTGTGTCAATCGTAGTCCATTCATGAAAAACAAGTCGGTAGTCCCTTACTAGCTCCTTCCGCTGTTGCCCTTTGCCAAKGTCCTTTTGGCCTCCTTTCCATTCCACTTCCCCAATTTTCCCCCCATTTTCCCCTCCAAGCCASCTCAGGCTAAAATCCTTAATTTTTTGTTGGATGTCTTTTGGCGAATGTAGAGGATGGATCTGTACCTTGACTTTCTCCCAGTTTTCCAAGATTTCAGTTTGGATYTGTTGTTGTATGCTTTCTGTGAACTCCGGGCCCTCCAGTCGTGCTCTTTCCATTTCATATGTACAGCGCCGTCGCCAGAGGGCCCAGAGCACCGCCCTGCGGCCCAGTTTGAGCATATTGCAGGTGAAATCGTCAAGTTGGTCGTAGGGGTAGGCTTCACATAACAAGGTTTGCCAATCCCACGGCCACTGGATCTGGGTTTCTAATTGCCCCCAGATTCTATCCCACCATCTCCACAGCCACACTACACCTGGGCACTGAAGGAAAATGTGTTCTATTGTTTCTGGCATTTTCCTGGCGGGGAACGCATCGGTGCAGAGTCTACACCAAGGGAGGGCAAGCCCTCTCTGTTCTAGATTGGTTCTTGCTAGTGTGAGTATGCCCTTAGTTGGTTAGGCATGCAATTGGCATTCAGGAGGTTGTGAGTTCAATCCCCACCAGCCACATGTGGCTTTCTCTTTGCTTTTTTTTTTGGGGGGGGGAAGCCCTTTTGCAAGGCCTCTTTCGTGACAGTGGTGAGAGAACTCCCAGAATTGAGACCTTGCCTGTTGGGCTGCTCCATCTGTTGGTGGGGAGCGACACCTGCTGGAAACCGGGTCCACCGTCCCTTGGATACAGAGTTTGCTGTTACATTGGTTGTCGGGGCTATAGCCATTTCTGTTTCTACCGTCTTCACCGAATAGAAYGCCCAGTCATTATAGCCGTATTTAAGGCCATTTTCTGTCCAGATGCAGGGATAATGACCGAGCATTCTATTCGGGTGAAGACCGTAGTCTGGAGTTCTGGCTTTCCCATGGAGCTGCAAGAACCCCTCCTTCCTTCCACTGGCCCAGCCTTTGTCCTAAAAATTGCACGCTGTTCGTTCGTGGCCTATATCCCTCTCTGGCCCATCTGCCGAAGTGCATTTCCAGGTGTCTGCAGCTGCCCTGTAGCTCTGTGCTGTGGCATCAATAGTTGTGCACCTGGCTGTCCTCTTATTTCCCCCTGCTTCCTTTCGTTTCCCAATCCTGTAGGCTGTAAGTGCCAACCAACTGAGATAGTTGGCTTGCTCCCCCTGTTCGGTATTGGTAGGACCTTGGCAATCACGGGTGTGCGTGTGTGTGTGTGGGTTGTCTGTGGCTACGAATACCCCCCGGCCGCGGTTTCTGCAGTCACAACTGGGGCTTGCAGTCATGGCCGCATGATCGCGACCGCGGCGATGTTTGCGGCCGTGTAGCGGCCAGAGGGGGAGGGGATTGGGGGTGGGGGTTGCGGATTGGGGTTCTGGAACCCCGACCCTACCCCCTAGAGAAAACATAAGTAAAAAAAAAACAATTTTCGGGGGGGTGGGGGTTGGTGGGTGAAAAACAATTAAAATAAAATAAAATAAAGACAATCTTGATTGATTGATTGATTAATTGATTGATT